GTGAATCCTGCCATTCCTCTAATGCCAGGGGGACAGCCCATAGATCTCCGTGGATGGCTAGATCTCAGGCGGTTCCCTCATGGATATCCCAAAGAATCTGTCCCAGGCCCTGCTCTCCATGCAGAGATGGGTGGGAGTGATTTTGGGTTCGAAGAGTCCCCAGTATAGCAATGCTGCCATGTGGTCTGTACGAGAGTCACTGGGCCCCATTGCAAAGCACTCTCTCATTCTCACCTGCTTGCAGACACCGTGGGTCAAAGACTTTCTGTGAACATTGACTTGGGCTGAGCGTGTGAAACCTCCCACCTTCAACAGGAAACTGCTTTTCTCTTTGCAGATGGCCAAGGCAGCTGGAAAAGTGATGGCTGTGAAACAGAGACGGGTAATAACCAGACAGTCTGCCGTTGCAACCACCTCACCTATTTTGCTGTGCTGATGGTGGGTACCGGGTACCAGCTCCCACTCGAGCTCTCTGCATCCTCACTGCATGGTCTCCGCAGTGATGGGTGAAGCTCTCAGCTCTTGCCCAGCATGGCTCTAACACCTCCCCTGTCCTCTCCATTCTCAGATGTCCTCTCCAGAGATAGATTACATCCACAAGGAGTACCTGACGATTATCACCTACATTGGCTGCATTATCTCAGCTGTGGCTTCCCTCTTCACCATCATCTTCTTCTGCTGCTGCTCCAGGTACAGTACTATGGTTCGGGGCCGGGGATTAGCTAGCAGCCTGTAACTCGTGCTCATGCTGATCAGTTCGCTACCCCATGCAGGCAGCATCCCCCTCGGCTGCCATTACACACAGATTGGCCAAGATTTTCTAAAGGGACTGGTGATTCTGGGAGCCCAACGTGAGATGCCTGAAAGGGGCCTGATATTCAGGAAGTGCTGAGCACCCACCTCTAGAAACCAGACCCCTTTATGGGGTCTCCAGATGGGCCCCCAGAACCACCTATCATGTTTAATAATATTAACCGCCATCTTGGTCTTTAGCACTAATGCAGCGAGCGTGGGCACGCACAGATCTTTAGCAGTGCGTGAACAAGGGGCTGACGCAGGCTAAAAGAGGCTTCCTTTGAGAAATTAGGCTGTACGCAATGGCCAAACCCGTCGCCTACACACATGGTTCAAAGGCCAGCAGAGATGTAGCTTCCAGTGGAACAAGGGGACCAGGATCGCTCACCTGTTGCAGTTACCGGTGGCTCAGCGTGTTCACCCATCACAGCCATCAGCTGGCCATGCACATGTGGAATAGGCACTGGGCTCACAATCTCCTGTTGTTAAGACACAGCTCTCTTGTGAGTCTCTGGTTAGGGTGAGCTGCTTGAATCAAAGCACTGGGACCCCATCGTGGGGTTTTGTGGGTGCTGGGTCTGGGACTCCCAGACAGGAGCAGGAATGAAATCTCTTCCTCTCCCTTTCCCAGGAGGAAGCACAGAGACGGCACCGTAAACATCTACATTCACATGAACCTGCTGGGGGCCATCTTCCTGCTGGACGTGAGCTTCCTCATTACTGAGCACTTGGCCTCCATCGGCAGCGAGGCAGCCTGCAAAGCCAGCGGCATGTTCCTGCACCTCTCTCTGCTGTGCTGCCTGACCTGGATGGGCATTGAGGGCTACAATCTCTACAGGCTGGTGGTGGAGGTCTTCAACACCTACGTGGAGCACTTCATTCTCAAGCTCTGCCTGGTGGGCTGGGGTGAGTACGAAAGGAGGCCGAGATGGCCCTGAGAACGCCAGGCCTCTTCGCCCCTAGAAGACTTTCTTCTCGCAAGGATAAGAGGATGATTTGCTCACCGTCCATAAGTACCTACACGTGGAAGAGATTTCTGAGGGCAGAAAGGCAGGCAAAGGCATAAGACGAACCAATGTCTGGAAACTAAAGCTAGAGAAATTCAGGCTAGAGATCAGTCCCCTCACTGTTCAAAATTGTGCCTAAAGCATTGGCGGCAGTGGTTTCTCCATCACTAAGGCTTTAAGTCAAGACTGGCTGTGTCTGTAAAAAAAAAATACACTGTCGCTCAAACACAAGCTATGGGCAGGAGGC